CGATAAGTACAATAAAATCTTACAATATTTACACTATTTAGATTCGGACTATTGTCCTCATCTTTATTGTTGTTATCCCAATGTAAATAGTGTAAATAATGATAAGTCCCCACTGATTTTTAGAGCTTGAAAACTTAACATTTTTGCTTCGTTCTTTTTGCTTTTTTATTTTTCTTGCCATCACCTTTATAATTTTATTACTCTACCCAGGGCGAAGGTTGTCCAGGCTGAGAAGGATCGGAATGTACTATCATCTTAACATCTTAATTCAAATTAACTCAAATTGTGTGTGCGGCATGTGTTTGTGTATTCCTTAAATGGCAAATGAGCATGTAACTCACTCACACACAACGCAGCCATATGCATTATACGCGAGTGCAGTCAAAAAAACAATGTGTGACAAACAGAAAATCAGCCCTTCTTCAATAATATAGACTTTGGCATAACAGACAATTAGATATGAAGTTTGACCTTTGAAGAAATTAACTTACAACCGAATCTCTGAAATTAAATCAACTGTAAGCAGAGATTCGACAATTTTCACTACTTACTGAATAAATGTGTTATTTTTAAGTTTTATGCAATTTTTCACAGAAACAAGAGAATTATCAGCATAAAGAAAATTATAAACAAGATCTGTTCCAAATTCAAGGACACTTTATGAATAATAAACTATTCTCAAGAAATATTTCACCCTCTTTCTTTATACATCGTGTACGGATGGAAAGTTATAAATAAAACTATTTCAAAACAAACTAAGCGTATTCGCCAAGATCTGTTTGCAAAAGTCTTCATGAAAAACGGGTTCTGTCACTAAGAGCCTCTCTTCAGTAAGTTAACGTCCTTGTGGGATAGAAGACGTACCGAATTCGATGTAATCACTGTGACCTCTTTTCTCTTTGTCTGAGCTGAAAGCAGAACAGAACTTAGACACACACGACACACATCAGTTTCGTCGGCTCGTCTTCTGTCAACTCCACAACCTAATCTCCAACCAACCTAGGTCTTCCACAACTTGTCACAGGCAAAAAAAAAAAAACAATAATTAACGTTTTTCATTTTTTTTTCTCTTGGTCTTCTTTTCCTTGCAAAGAGTTTCAAACGTAAAGATACAAATTGAGATCGAAATTCACTTTTTACTTTCTTTACCCTCGCTAACGATCTTAAGTCAGTGTTATGCTATGTCCGTATGCAAGCGAGTTTTTTTTTATCATTCTTCTACGTGTCGCGTCCTTTCAAGCCATGGATTATCATGGCTCTCCGAAACTTGCTATTCCTTTTGAACCTTACCAGTTTTTCTCCTTTTACTACGGTTCCCACCCCATTCCGCCATTGATTCATATAAACTCGTCAGGTAAGTGAGGTCATTTCTCTTCTATCTCTCTTACCCCATTATGTCCTGTGAATGTTAAGTTTTCCAAGCAATTCCCCCTCAAAGGAATTTCACTTATCTTTTCTTGATTCTGAGTATAAGTGTTCTTTCTGTTATCATTTTCTTTAAAACTCCCTCATTGCTTACTCCTTCCGTCCATAGCATTCTCAGCATCCTTCTGTAGGATCACATTTCTGTTGTCTCCAGTTGAGAAGAACCCATCAACGAGAGAAGATTGTCTAGCATTCATTGCTACATAAGAGGAAAGAAACAACATAACAATTCAGCACTCCTTTTTTTTCTAACGATTTTTTCTGTTTCTCGTGATTTTGCTTAGCTTTTGGAATACCACTTTTGTTAATCCAATGTCTTCGGATTTCAATGATGCATATTCAATTTTCCTTGCAGCGAAGTTTGTTTTATAAAGTAGTTAAGCGTACTTAGCGCGATAGGAAATGTGTAGACAGACTTAGTTTATGACGATCAGCCTAATGTGTTTGAGTGTTCGTAAACAAAGATTTAGTCGACAGATGTTAATTATTCCCTTCTATTTTGTGAATGGACAGAGACTTAATCGGCGGTTTCTGGCTTTTGTCTCTTCTATTGTTTGAATTTGTATGTGTGTGTGTGTTTGTGTATTTGTACGCACGTGTATATGAAACTGGCCTCAGAAATTTTTGAGCCTCAAGAAGCCGTATGCTTCTATATTGATATCCGTAAGAGAGAACACAAGTCTTATTTCACATAGAGGTATGGAGTTTTTGAATACAAGGTTTTCATTAGTTAGAAAATAATTTCACATGAGTTCACGAAAATCTTTTTCTCGAATTTGCCGGGTTAGTGAAAGGAGTTATTATTGTTCTTTTCGAAATGGTCCCAAAGTAACACATGTTAGGTGTACTACTATGTTTGCAAGTATTTTGGATGTATTTTCCCATGTAAATATTGTTTATCAAACAAATCAAGTAAAAATGTCCAGATATTTAAACCCCTGGATTTCCTTGACATTGAAATATACCATTTGTAACGCGTATGTGTTGGTGATCACCATACTTTCTTTTTCAGGTGGTTAGTCAAAAATAAATGTCCACTTCATATATATATCTAACCTTAAAACTTAAATATATATATATATATATATATATATATATATATATATATATATATATATATATATATACTTATAAGTTTTAAGGTTAGAGTTGAATAAGACCAGGACGCAGTGGTATTAAAAAGTGCTCAATATACGTGTGAAAAAATAAATAAAAGTAAAAAATGACATGTACAGCTTTTACTTAAAAATTAAAACAACCTTACGGTATCATCAGGCGATTTTTATCAAATGAACTCTTAATGCTTTATGCATTTTTTAAATAAAGCATTAAAAGGTCATTCGATAAAAAATCGCTTGACGGTACCATAAGGTTAAACAAATAGCAGATACAATTGATCTTCTTTTTTATTTTTATAAATATATATATATATATATATATATATATATATATATATATATATATATATATATATATATATATATCCTATATATATATATATATATATATATATATATATATCCTCAGAATTTTCAACTGCCTCTTCCTTAAATATAAGTTTCCTTTTGGTTTTTCTCTAAAACTTCGTCGTTGCTCACCTTTTCGGTCCATGGTATTCTTAGCATCCTTCTGTAGAACTACATTTCAGTTGCTTCAATCTCTTCTTCATCTTTGAGGAGATTGTCTAGAATTCGCAGCCATACAGGAAGACAAATATCAGATAACAGTTCAATACTCTTTTCTTTGTTTCTAACCACCATCAGTCGGAAATCAAGACTGTCAACAGGGCAACATGGAGTTAGGGGGTTGTAGTGAAGTAAGACAAATGGTTGGTCATTGTTGCCATTTAGAAATCTGCCATGGCGCATGTGCGAGACAAAGACTTAAAAACTGTTAGTGATTTGCAAGTGTGAGCATGCAACTGATATAAACGAAGGGAACGTTTTTTTCAGGACATTAGTTTTTTTGAAATTGGACGGTTTAAACAGCGCAGTGGATTGATGGCAAAGAGACGTTTGGGATTTCTTGATAGCGGAGAAACGTGAGCAAAGATTTCTTGATAGCGGAGAGACGTGTGCTGGGATTTCTTGATAGCGGAGAGACGTGTGCTGGAATTTCTTGAAAGCGGAGAACCCTGTATTGGGAATTCTTGATAGCGGAGAGACGAGTGCTGGGTTTTCTTGATAGCAGAGAGGCGTGTGCTAAGATTTCTTGTATGCGGGGGGACGCGTGCTGGTATTTCTAGATAAACGAGAGATGTGTGTTGGGATTACTTTATAGCGGAGAGACGTTTACTGGGATTTCTTGATAGCGAAGAGACATGTGCTGGGATTTCTTGATAGCGTAGAGACGTGTGTTGGGATTTTTCGATAGCGGAGAGATATGTGCTGGTATTACTTGATAGAGGAAAGACATGTGCTGGTATTTCTTTATAGCGGGGTGAGGTGTGGTGTGATTTCTTGATAGCGTAGAGACGTGTGCTGGGATTTCTTGATAGCAGAGAGACGTGTCTTGGGATTTCTTGATAGCGGAGAGACATGCGCTGATATTTCTTGATAGCGGAGAGACATGTGCTGGTATTTCTTGATAGCGGAGAGACGTGTCTTGGGATTACTTCATAGAGGAGAGACGTGTGTTGGGATTACTTCATAGAGGAGAGACGTGTGTTGGGATTACTTTATCGCGGAGAGACATGTGCTGGTATTTCTTGATAGCTGAGAGACGTGTGTTGGGATTTCTTGATAGCGGAGGGACGTGTGCTGGGATTTTTTGATAGCAGAGAGACGTGTGTTGCGATTACTTCATAGAGGAGAGACGTGTGTTAGGATTACTTTATAGCGGAAAGACATGTGCTGGTATCTCCTGATAGCTGAGAGACGTGTGTTGGGATTTCTTAATAGCGAAGGGATACGTGCCGGGATATCTAGAGAGCCGAGAGACGCGTGTTGGGATTATTTATAGTGGAGAGACGTGTTTTGGGATTACTTTATAGCGGAGAGATGTGTGCTGGTATTTCTTGATAGCAAAGAGACATGTGCTGGTATTTCTTTATAGCGTAGAGACATGTGCTGATATTTCTTGATAGCGGAGAGACGTGTTTTCTTATTTCTTGATAGCAGAGGCACGTGTGTTGGGATTACTTCATAGCGGAAAGACGTGTGTTGGTATTTCTTGATAGCGGAGAGACGTTTACTGGTATTACTTGATAGCGGAGATTCATGTGCTGGTATTTATTGATAGCAGATAGACGTGTGCTGTCATTTCTTGATAGCGGAGAGACGTGAGCTAAGATTTCTTGATAACGGAGGAACGCGTGCTGGTATTTCTTGATAGCGAAGAGACGTGTGCTGGGATTACTTTGTAGCGGAGAGATGTGTGCTGGTAATTATTGATAGTGGAGAGACATGTGCTGATATTTCTTGATAGCGGGGAGACGTTTACTAGGATTTCTTGATAGCAGATAGACGTGTGCTGGTAGTTCTTGATAGCAAAGACACATGTGCTGGTATTTCTTGATAGCGGAGAGACGTATGCTGCGATTTCTTAATAGCGGAGAGACATCTGCTGGGATTACTTCATAGCGGAGAGACGTGTGTTATTATTTCTTGATAGCGGAGAGACGTGTGCTGTGATTCCTTGATAGCGGAGAGACATGTGCTGTATTTCTTGATAGCGAAGAGACGTATGCTGTGATTTCTAGATAGCGGAGAGACGTGTGCTGGAATTTCTTGATAGCGGAGAGACGTCAACTGGGATTTCTTGAAAACGGAGAACCCTGTGTTGGGTTTTCTTGATAGCGGAGAGACGTATGCTGTGATTTCTTGATAGCAAAGAGGCGTGTGCTGCCATTTCTTGATAGCGGAGAGACGTGAGCTAAGATTTCTTCATAGCGGAGAGACGTGTGCTGGTATTTCTTGATAGCGGAGAGACATGTGCTGGGATTTCTAGATAGCCGATAGATGTGCGTTGGGATTACTTTATAGCGGAGAGACGTTTACTGGCATTACTTGATAGCGGAGAGACATGTGCTCGCATTTCTAGATAGTCTTGAGACGTGTTTTGGGATTACTTTATAGCAGAGAGATGTGAGCTGGTATTTCTTGATAGCGGAGAGACGTGTGCTGGGATTTCTTGATAGTGTAGAGATGTGTGCTGGGTTTTTTCGATAGCGGAGAGTCATGTGCTGGTATTACTTGATAGCGGAAAGACGTGCTGGTATTTCTTTATAGCGGGGAGAGGTGTGCTGTGATTTCTTGATAGCAGAGAGACATGTGTTGCGATTACTTCATAGAGAAGAGACGTGTGCTGGGATTACTTTATAGCGGAAAGGCATGTGCTGTTATTTCCTGATAGCTGAGAGACGTGTGTTGGAATTTCTTGATAGCGAAGGGATATCTAGACAGCCGAAGGATATGTGTTGGGATTACTTTATAGCAGAGAGATGTGTACTGGTATTTCTTGATAGCGTAGAGACATGTGCTGATATTCCTTGATAGCGGAGAGACGTGTGCTGTGATTTCTTGATAGCTGAGAGACATATAGTGTTATTTCTTGATAGCGGAGAGACGTGTATGTGATTTCTTGATAGCAGATAGACTTGTGCTGCCATTTCTTGATAGTGGAGAGACGCGTGCTGGTATTTCTTGATAGCGGAAAGACATGTGCTGGGATTACTTTATAGTGGAGCGATGTTTGTTGCTATTTCTTGATAGCGGAGAGACATTTGCTGGTATTTCTTTATAGCGGGGTGATGTGTGCTGGTATTTCTTGATAGCAGAGAGACGTGTGCTGGTATTTCTTGATAGAGTAGAGACGTGCTGATAGTTCTTGATAGCGGAGAGACGTGTGCTGGAATTTCTTGATAGCGGAGAGACGTCTGCTGGGATTTCTTGATAGCAGAGAGACGTGTGCTGGTATTTCTTAATAGCGGATAGACGTGCGCTGGGATTTCTTGATAGCGGTGAGACGTGCGCTGGGATTTCTTGATAGCAGAGAGACTTGTGCTGGTATTTCTTGATAGCGGATACATGTGTGATGGGATTTCTTGATACTGGAGTACGATTACTTCACCGTCCCCATTTCAAATAAACAACAGGGTAGCCTCCCTCACTGAATCCGACCGTAGATAAAGTGCGAAAAAAAGGTTATTCATAAGAAACTGAGCTCCCGTCGGCTACCAGACCATCTCCTGCAATCGTTTTGGAAAAGGTCTCATTATCAACCTGAGACTCTGAAATGGGGAGTGAGGACCTTTCTACATTTTTGTTCGTGATTCCGAAGCATATTGGATAATTTCTCCTTTTTAATAATCTCGACTCGCTTATTTAAGTCCGATGTTTTTATCAAATCAAAATGTAATTATCAGGTGAGAATGGATCGTCAGAGTCCAATGCTGGTTTTCCAGGGCTTTTCTCAGGGTACTGGGAGATCCTTGTCTTCTAAGTAACATGCGACATATAGTGTTGGGTTATACGGTACCAGCAGCAAGAAGTAATCCCTAACCTGATCTATCAGGGAAAGTGGATTCATGCCTTTCTGAAGAAAATGTGAACACAAACTATATTGATTTTCATGCGGTTAAACGTTAAGTCAGCTCGTCACCTCTATAACGAGCATTGGTAATGTTAATATTAGCTGTTTCCTTATAAGGAGACAATCATTCATTGACCGACCAGCCAGTGCTAATTGGAATTTATAAAATCTTTGTATTAAAACAATTTTTCAAGAAGTGGGTTTCTCAAGGCCATTGTTATCGCCCTTTCTAGTATTGACAGAGGTTTCCTTCCTAACATTTGTTTCCCGTAATGTGGAACCTCAACATCTTTTGTCATTATTTTCTCTTCGAGTGACAAGTGATATCCATTTTAGTTGCTGCTGCTATATTGAAATTCTAATTCTTTGCAACAATGCATATCTACCAGTTTAAGCTTTTTTTTTCACCGGAATGACCTGAATTTCGATAGGCGGCATCAAATCATATGAAAGGATCGATAACTATAATTAAAATCAATTCATACAAAGAAAACTGACAACAATGTCAGCGGTCTGCGAGATTTCAGACGCCCTCTTGCCTCATTCACTGTCCACTTGCTTCGTTCACTGTCCACTTGCTTTATTCACTGTCCACTTGTTCACGTCTCGTAACCTTTCAAATGCACTCATTCACCAAATGACTATTTTCATCTCAGCTTTCTTTTTCATTTCTTTCATCACCGCAATTAAAATTCACCCTCCCTCCTCCTCCACTTCCTCCGTCCATCCGTCTTATCCACACTCCTCCTACTACTACTACACCCTTGCTTCTCCTTTCTTGTCATTTACTTTGCTCTTTCCACACTCCCTTTTTTTCTACCCTGCTCCTCTTGACTATGGCATTTCTCTCCTCACACTTCTGTTCATCTTCTACGACTTCTACTCATTTCCCTCCTCTTTCTATCAGATTTCATCTACCTTCGCTTCCTCCTTCCTTTTCAAATCCCTTCATCTCCTATTCCCTTTTCCCCTCCTCTCCGACTTTTACTCATTTTCCTCTTCTTTCTATCAGATTTCATCTGCCTCCGCTTCCTCCTTCCTTTTCAAATTCCTTCTTCTCCTATTCCCTTTTCTCTTTCTATACATCTTCCTCTTGCACACTTATTTCTTCTCCCTCTATATAGCATAAACTCCCTCCAATGTGTACCCCTTCAACTGCTGTGTCTTCCAATCTATCTATCTATCTATCTATCTATCTATCTATCTATCTATCTATCTATCTATCTATCTCTTGTGTTTCTGTAAAATTCAATGTCTTTGATGTCTTTTGTGTCTTTATGTCAAATGCTAAATAAAATATACAACCAAAGAACAAAACACAGACATCCTGATCACGTGTCACCCACCCGCCATTTCTTTCCTCTTTTTCCCCTGAGGGAACGGGTCGGAGTCAGCTGATGGGGATTGGCCAAGGACGGGAAAAAGTGATCATTTTTATAGACCAACAAAAGCCATTGGACAACGCTAGCTTAAAAGGAGCGGCCGTTGTCTGCAACAATCCATCAAATTCGGGGACAAAATAGAAACGACTTCAAATATTTCAGAAAATTGGAAAAGTGACGTAACAGCAGACGATTACAGAAGTCAGCGGTGGTGGCGGCAGTAGTATGCTTTTGGGCGAAAGTCTTGTCGAGTGGTGGAGGCGTATGGCATTCAGTGTGTGGAACATGAAAGCAAATTCACCGCTCCTTAGTTTTCTCACTTGTTGAAAAGAAGATAAAAAAGACAAGATAGTGAGAATCGCAAACGAACCAGAAGACAAAATTTTAAAAAGTAAAAAAACCTAAGAGTCGGCAGAAAGAAGAATACAAACACTAGACTAAGAATAAAAAAAAGGAAGACAATACGTAGACATTATGCTCAACGATGATGGGACGCCATTTTCTAAGCCCCTCACTGAAACTAATAAGCCCAACTCATATTTAAAAAAATTAAAATTAAAAAACGCTACCGACTAACACATTAAAGTGATATTATTTTAAAGATGATAAATTTACGTAAATATTGGGAAAAATACATACTCTATACTTATTCTTCGTTGTTGGATTTTTTCTATGCAATATCAATTTATATGAATATTCTATAATTATTGTTTTTGTTCATTCTTTCATTATTTTAAGGAATGCTTTCTCGTTATCTATTTATTACAAAGGTACCCAGAATGGATTGAAATTTATAAATTCTTTACGTTAAAATGATTTTTCAGGAAAATTGTTTTTTTCAAGTCCACTGTTAACGCCTTTTCAAAAACTGATGGAGACTTCCTTCCTATCCTTTTGTTTGAAGTAGTGTGGATAGTGAAAAACTTGCTTATGTCATGATAAAATGTACTTTTCATACAAATTTTGTTTGGTTGCTTTCTATTCATATCAATTTGTCGTCTTCCTCTCTCCGTATATCTCTCTATTCGCGGTACTTATTTGAAAGTGCTCAATATCAGTGATACAGCCAACATATTCCGTTGTATGGGTATGAGCTTGTAACCATGTTTCACGCTTTTGCGATCATCAGTATATATATATATATATATATATATATATATATATATATATATATCAGAGATGAGGTATTGTGATTATTTACATTATTCCAAAGGTTATCCTCATCTTCATTGACATAATTCCCATATTCACAACGTTTTGCCTGTTGTACATTTCAGCCGCCTTCAAGTAATTCGACTTTCGAACCGAACCCTTTATTTCGTCCACTGGGGTAGATTGTTCTAGTTCTACTTGCCATACCTCTTCTAGATGTCTCAGTTAACTTTGTTTCCCTTTAACTCAATTCTCCAAGTTTTTTTTTTTCCCCACTGTTGTGGCCTGATATTAAACTCACAATCTTTGGGTTTTGTCACTGGATCTAACCAATGTCTTCCTCCGCTGAGCCATGTGTCTTTGACTTTCGGATGTAACCTACTGTTACCGAAAATCTGCCCTGAATTGTAAAATGAAAATGCAATAGAACTAATGCATTAAGTAGAAAAGCTTTTAATTGCTTTTATAAATAATTTATGTTACAGAAACTAATAATGAATTTTGACAAGAATTGTTTTAATTTTTTTTTTAATTATAATAATTTATAAAGTTTTAAATTTCTATATTAACTTATACTGGTTAGGTGATGTTATTTTTTAAACTACATTTGCTAATCATAAATGGAAAAGCTTACTAAAAATCAACGACCTCCAATATTTTTAAAAGAATTTTGATCTTGTTCGTGTGTGTGTGTGTGTGTGTGTGTGTGTGTGTGTGTGTGTGTGTGTGTGTGTGTGTGTAACGAATGCACTTTTCGACGGATTTGCACCAAAATTTACATGCACATGCTCCAAGTTAGCGGGAAGGCCAAAAACGACTTTCCCAACTCCCATCGATAGTGGAAATAATCGATTTTTTCATGCTTCTACGGCAGTTTTCAAGTACTTTGCGGCCATTTTGTACTGGCCAGAGTGAGAGTCTATAGCTGGCTGCCATGAATAGGCAGGAAGATTCTATTGGCCAGCGTGAGAGCCAACAGCTGACTGACACAAATGTTAACTAGCATGCTAGCATGCAAAAAAAAATCGATAGCTGCATTCGTCACAAGTGGGAAAAATTTAAATCTGCATGGCACTTTACTCCAATTGGCGCATTCGCTTGCGTAAACTCGACG